TTCCCACCAGAAATTGGCTCTGACAGGCGGGCATTTCAAGGGGACCTAGCTGGTGTCTGATCCCAGTCTGTTAATAGTAGGAATTGCTGTAAGTAATGTCGAGAATCATCTGCTTGGGGGACTTTGGGATTTGCAGAGGGGAAGACAGAATTTAATTTTTAAAAAAGAACGATTTAATTTAAAGAACACATTCTCCCGTGGACTAATTGACTCCCAGCTGGTCCTTTCTGGATCCAGGACTGTAGAGTGGGTACCAGCCAAATAATTAGTGTCTTGTAAGTAGTGTAAATTATTGTCACTTAAAAAGAAAAATTCGGGCCTCCCTGGTGGCGCAGTGGTTGAGAGTCCGCCTGCTGATGCAGGGGATACGGGTTCGTGCCCCGGTCCGGGAGGATCCCACGTGCCGCGGAGTGGCTGGGCCCGTGAGCCATGGGCGCTGAGCTTGCGCATCCGGCAACGGGAAAGGCCACGACAGTGAGAGGCCCACATATCGCAAAAAAAAAAAAAAAAAAAAAAGAAAAATTCACAGTCAGTTTTTTTCCCCCTCACTTGTATGCAAAGCGATGCAGGACATGAGTGACAAGATTTGCATTTTGTCTTGCAGCCTACTTGGAGGAGATCCAGTCGGTCCGTCGCCATACCAACAGCATGCTGGGAAGCACCAAGAACCAGCACCCCCCAATAGTGGTCCACTGCAGTGCTGGGGTGGGAAGGACCGGCGTGGTCATCCTTTCTGAGCTGATGATCTACTGCCTGGAGCATAATGAAGTAAGTCATTCTGGGCTTCTGAGTCCTCCACCTTGGGGACCAATCTACACCATGGCCAAACCTTCACCTGTGCCCTTCTATTTCCACTGTTTAATGTCCTCTCTCCTGACGAGAGTTTTCCAGACCCGTGATTCCTGGTTGGACTCTGACATTTACAACCTTCCTGATCTTTTGCCTTTCACTGCTCTGTGTAGAGACCCCGATAATACAGAAAAAGAGTTGAAACTGTGAGAAAGGCAACATTTAGAAAATCTGACCTTCACTGGCATCAACTCCCAGAAGTCTGCAGTGTTTCGTAGAAGGTCTGGTTTTATTGCGGGTAATTTTCCACAGTGGGTTATCGGGTCGCATATAGTATAGATGCGTCTTGCATTTCTGGGATGTGTTTTGGCCTAACTCCTACGTGAAAATGTGTGTACTTTAAAAACATTTTTCATTCTTTAGTGGGGAGTTTTATTGAGGGGGCTCTTTGCTCTTGTGTAGACTGGCGGTGGTGTGTAGCAGAGCCGGGTAGATAATCCGAGGGCACAGACGTGGCCTGCCTTTGCTGAGGCTGAAGGCCCAGCTTTTCTCCCATAGACGCGGGCTGCGGCTGAATTTGTGCCCACACGGTGTGTGGCATTCCCTTCTTGCTGTAGGTCAGGGAGTTACACCGAGGGGCTTTTGATTTTGCAGAGATGAGACAAATAGCAATCAAAGGCTAAAGAACAATTCTTCTGCCTTCTATTCTCACAGGGGGCTTTAGGGGGTTTAGATGGCTTTCACTTTTTTTTCCTTGGGTTCTTTAATCACCGCTAGTAGCACATGTCCCGTTCCTGTTTTACAGATGAGGATGCCGAGGTCCAGAAACAATCTAGTGGCTTGTCCAGTGCCAGGTGGCTCTTAAGCAGTGGTGCCAAGGTTTGAAGTGAGGTCTTTCACCTCCTGGCCCTGAGTTATTTCCTGTCTTCACTCTGCCTCCAAATGCCAAGTGTCATTCGATTCTTGTTCAATTTACAAATTGTACAGCTTGGAGAATCAAAGGAAACTTTTGAAGTGGTTTGATAGTTTTAAAATCAGGAAATGTTATAATGCATGTCCTGTGAAGGAATTTATATAACAATATATGTATTTACTCAATGGTTTGAAGATCAGATTAAATATTGCCCCATGGAGTTTGTTATATTCAAACTTCTCGGAAAACAATAAGTGCCAAGTTTAAATATGTTCAAAGGGTTTTTAAGTTCCCTGCCTATAAGAGGTTAATTTTGGAAACTTTCAGTCTGTACATATGAATGTTTGTGGAGTTATATCACATGTGGCCTATTGTTCAAACAAACAAACAAACATTCTATTGGGGAACAAAATGCCCATCGTGGAATCACTTGAGTCTCCATAACAGAAATCTCGTCATCTTCTATGAGTTTTTATCGTTTTGTCTCACATGAGATTTCTTGATTGTCTGCTTCTCTGTCACTACTAGAAGTCTCTAGGAGCTTCTAGCAGGGGGAATAGCTCGCCACTAAGTCCCAGATCCACTCACTGCTGGGAAGATAGACTAAGATGCAGTGGAATCCAGGTACATGTGGCTCAAGCATATCCGAGCTCCACTGGCAGCACCAGTGGGTTCCCGGGGAGGAAGAAGGGCCGCGTCATCCCCTCCCCACTTAGAGATCTTTTCCTCATGTCACTTTCCTCGCCAAATTCCCCTTCTTTTCTGCATTCCCCATGTGCTCTTCCTCTGTTCCCTCTTCCTCCTTTTCAACTTGAGAAGCTGTTTTGTCAGTCTGGTCTGACATGAAGGATCGCTGTGTTCTGAGAGCTCTTTGGAGACCCATCAAAGGCTGAGCCTCAGTAATACGATGACATGAAGGCTCATCGATCACCAGATGTCACTGGCCCAGCGGAACGTAACAGATGTCAGAGCCAGCGTGGTACAGAGTAAGGGGTTCAGACACTAGGGCCTTCAGTGGACTTGGTGAGGGCTCAGGGTGATTAAATTCTCTATGGTGTATCCAGACATAGCAGATTTCCTCAATGCCCAGTTGCATGCCAGAACATTTACTGGAATGCGGTCAGTCCAAAAAGGACTTCTGTTCCCATTGATATTCAAAGATAGCAAGATGACTCACATTTGTCACTTCCCTTCCCCTAGCACATGTAGCCAGCCTCATCTGTCCCATTTCCCATAATTGCTATTGGTAGACGGCTGGGGAGAAAAAAAGGTCTCTACTTGTTCTGCCTCAGACCTGGCTAGTAAAATTCAAACCCTTATTTTAGAAGAGGAGTGGAACCATGTTTCTTTGTTTTTTAAACAAAAGATTTTGCTAACTCAGTATAAAATTGGTTGTCCCATTTTTCTCCTGTCTAAACTTTCCCATCTTCTTTCCGTGGCTTCTGGATTTAGGATACTTTATGTTTTAGTCTATAATCCATAGAGTTTTAATTTTGCCAGTGAAACGCCTTTTCTCTTTCCTGGAGCAAAGATGCTTAACCGTGAAGTCGGGTAGCTGCGAGGGGATTCTCCTGGGCTGCCCTGAGAAGCTTCTTTGTGCCCTGTTGGTTTTGGTCACTGAATGTTAGCTATAACATTTTAATGCCCATGCATTTGTTTTCAGAACGCACCAGTTTCATGGTCTGTGATACTCTCTCTTGGCCACCTGTCCCAGATTAGCTAAGTTACAAAAGGTCAGGTTCTCACTAGCCAAAGAGCAAGATATCTTGATCTTGCTGCTTTTCTGAATTGGTTACCCCTCCTCCATAGAGTAGGGGGGTGGGGGGGACGTCTTCTAAGCAAGATGGAGCAAGCATCAGCTGCCTCCGGATTCCTTGGGTTGGGGACGGTGGGCAGCAGAGCCCGTGGAAGTGCATCTTCAAGGCAAACTGAAGGATTCTTTCATTGAGGACCAGGGGGAACTTTGTCTTGTCTCCAAACTGCCCTGTATCAGCTAGTATACTGTCCTTGAGGCAGCCCGAAGGGCTGAGTCTTACAGGCTGTGGAGATGGTAATGACCATGATGATAGTGGTGGTGGCAGAGATGGAAGTGGAGGAGATGGTAGAGGTAAAGGAGATGGTGGTGGGGGAGGTGGTGGTGGTTGTGATGACGACGAGAATGAAAATACTATAATAAGCACAGCTAACGTGTATGTAGTGTTTACCATGTGCCAACACTATTTCAAGAGCCTTACAGCTCGAAGCCTTCACAATGACCCTACGAGAGAGGTTCTGTTAGTACCCTCATCTAACAGAGAGAAACTGAGGCACAGGGAGATGACCTCTTAGCTTCTGTGTGACCCTGCCTCTCTTGTCAAAGCCTTTGATGGGTATGAGGTAGGAGCAGCCTTATTCTATCCTTATATTCAGTGCCCAACACAGAGTAATGCTTATCGTGCGTTATGTTAAGTTCATTATTAGGTGCTCTGTGTTGTGTATCATGATGTCAGTCACTGTGGAGTAGAGTTTAGGCACAGACCCACTAGTTACCATCAGAAGCTTATGGTCTAGGCTCTGTATTTTGACTAATAGTTTAAGGATTCACATGCCTTTTTCTCTTTGTGTATTACCAGGGACTTGTCCCTTTTGAATCTGTGGTGTGCATTACTTAACTAGTTTTGGAGAAGCGCGACTAAACAGGATGGCATGTATGGTATTGTGGCTACACAAAGTTTGGAAATAGCTGAAATGACTTTTGAAAGTAAAGTAAGAAAAGACATACAGCTGACTTTTTATTATTTTATTTCTGATGCTTGCTCAGTCCTTGGTAAATTCGTGGGTGTGGTCGTTTGCCTGGATTAAGGGCTCCCAGAGCAGGGGGGAGTATACCAAGGCCATGATGGCACACTGACTCCACGGTGCTTCTGCCTTGGCTGGTCCAGGAGGATGAAAGTGACACAAGTGAGGGGACACCATGGCACCAACGATCCGTTGTATTAATTCCTTTCCATTGGAGATCTTCAAAGAATTTACACATTGGCAATCTCATTTAATACTCAAGATATCGTTAGTTAAAGACTTTCACTCCAAACATGCATGACTGGTGTCCAGAGATTGTGCTTTGATGTTTTAAAGGTTTACACGTAAATAACCTCACTTGGTTATGTCTGCAATCCTGTGGGGTAGCAGGATGGGCATGAGTGTTCTTGTTTCATTAATATTAATGAGACAGTGAATAGTCTTTATTAAGAGCCTACCATGTGCCAGACACTGTGTTAAATGCTTTACATGTATTTCTTCATCTGATCCTCTGAGGAGGGTACTGTTTATCACCCTGTGTTACTGCCGAGGAAATGTCACTAACTTGGCCAAGGCCACACTGCCTGCCATTGGAGGAAAGCATCATTATCCTTATTTTACAGATGAAGAAACGAAGAACCAGAAAGGGCTTAAATCCTACCATCGGGCCGTGGTAGGGTTAAGAGTACCAATCGGGTTTAACTCCAGCCTCTATGTTTTCTCTAGTGGACTTGTCTGTAGTTAAAATATCACACCAGTGGTACATGACGACCAGCTTCTCCAGTTACTGTTAGGGTCTTTGATTGGGATAACCTAGAGGGGGGGCTGTCTTTGGCTTTCTCCTGTACCCGCACAGGGGCAGCGAGTGGATGCTTCCTGGATGAGGGAATGAGGAAGGCGCCAAGGGAAGCCCCCCCTCCCATCTCAGGATCTTCTCTTTTCTTGCAGAAGGTGGAAGTGCCCATGATGCTGAGGCTCCTCAGGGAGCAAAGGATGTTCATGATCCAGACCATCGCTCAGTACAAGTTTGTCTACCAGGTCCTCATCCAGTTCCTCCAAAACTCCAGACTCATTTAACCCCCTGCTTCAGCTCCTGGAAGAGGCAGCCAGCTCCACCTTACAGATGGGGAAGCACCTCCAGACAACATCTGCTCCCCCAGCAGGGCGCGGATGGCCGGAGCAGGCAGGTCACGGGCTCCCCGAAGACAGGAGCGCCAAGATCATTCACAAACATCATGTATTATTTTATATGAGATAATTTATTTTTTTCCCTCTTTGGAATAACCTTTGTGAATCATCGTAGTGCAGTTTTCACAATAATATAGTACTTTTCATCTGAACCACATTTTGACCGATCTGCATTGCAAGAGGTCAGTAGGCAGGGTTGCCTGGTGGATTATTTGGGGGACAGAGACATAAGGGAACACATCTCTAGTGAAGTTGCAGCCAGATTTGTAACCAGCCCTGAAATTTGTCAGCCTAATTGCTCACGTCCAAGTCAAAGATGGCAAGAAAATGAGTTCATCCTAAAATATAAAAGATAAGGGCTGAGGCCCTTTCCTTAAGGAGAACAACAACACTCTTTTCTTATATCTGGGGGCTCCTGCAGCTTGATGGACAGTTCCTTCCCTTTCCCCTTTTTGCCCTCTCCCTCAGTAGTCTCTTTTTTCCTCCCAGGCTTGAGTTAAAGACAGGAACAGCTAGAGGAAATGCTCCCTTTCCAATGCAGTGATTGCCATTGCCCGGGAAGAATGAGGACTCTGCGTTGTATCTTTCTCAACCACTCCTTATTCTGGGCTCTGGAGCCTGTTCCCCTGCTGGAGACTCTGCACCCTTGATATTTGCTCCTTCTCCCTGTTGGCTCAGTGGACCCTAGTCTGGTGGCCTCCGAGGCCCTGGGCCAGGCCGTCTGTGCAGCTAGGCTTCTTGCCTGAGAGAAGATAATAGACCAGTGTGGAAGAGAGAGGAGACATGCAGGCCCTTGATATCGTTTCTTATTTAAATATGAAGTGTGTGCTGACGGGGATCTGAAGGTCAAGGTGCTGGGTGCCATGGAAAGGTTATAAAGGAAACGGTTGGGAAAGCTGATGTTTGGGGGCCCTGCCTAGGAGCCACCCCAAGTGTTATCCCCACTGTGCTGCTAGCATCTCCAGCCTTTGGCCTGCAGGAGCAGAACTCAGCCCACCCAGGACCTTGCAGTCCAAATGTTGGCCCACCTGCTGAAAGATGGTGAGATTTGTGCTGCTTTCCTTTTCTCCATACAGCCCACTCTGGTCAGTTGTGGTATTAACCCTGCCCTCAGTCTGAAGCTCAGTCCTTAGGTCGTCTCCTTCTGGGCCTTCATTGGTCACTGTCCTTCTGAATTTTGTAGGTTAGTACGTAATAAATCATGTTCTGCACAGTTTCCCTCTTGCAGACTTCTGGGGAATTTTTCCCCCTACTGTCTAGTTTTTCTTGATGCAACTTTTAATTGTGGCTTTGTTCTTAAAATTGACTTTTGTGGGTGTCCCGTGATGCCTTCTTCCACTGCTCCCCCCCCCCCTTTTTTTTTTTCTTCCCCGGGGCGAAAATAAAAAAAAAAAAGCGAT